GAGGTGGGGAGGCTGCAGAAGGATTTAGACAGGTTAGGAGAGTGGTCAAAGAAATGGCAGATGGAATACAATGTGGGAAAATGTGAGGTCATGCACTTTGGTAGGAAGAATAGAGGCATAGACTATTTTCTAAATGGGGAGAAAATTCAGAAATCTGAACTACAAAGTGACTTGGGAGTCCTAGTCCAGGATTCTCTCAAGGTAAACTTGCAGGTTGAGTTAGGAAGGCACGTACAATGTTGACATTAATTTCGAGAGGACTAGAATGTAAAAGCAGGGATGTACTTCTGAGGCTTTATAAGATTCTGGTCAGACCACATTTAGAATATTGTGAGCAATTTTGGGCCCCATTTCTCAGGAAGGATGTACTGGCCCCGGATCAGGTCCAGAGGAGGTTCACGAGAATGATCCCAGGAATGAAAGGCTTAACATATGAGGAACGTTTGAGGACTCTGGGTCTATACTCGAAGGAGTTTAGAAGGATGAGTGGGGATCTAATTGAAACTTACAGAAGACCAAAAGGCCTGGACAGAGTGGACATTGGTAAGATGTTTCCATTTGTAGGAGAGTCTAGGACCTAAAGACATAGCCTTAGAGTAAAGGGAAGATCTTTTAGAATGGAGCTAGAGAGTGGTGAATCTATGGAATTCATTGCCACAGAAGGCTGTGGAGGCCAGGTCATTGAGTACATCTAAGACTGAGATGGATAGGTTCTTGATTGTCAGGGGGATCAAGGGTTACGGGGAGAAAGCGGGAGAATGGGGTTGAAAAACTTATCAGCCATGATTGAATGGCAGAGCAGACTCAATGGGTCGAATGACCTAATTTCTGCTCCTGTGTCTTATGGTCTTGACAACCAGAGCTTCGTTTACCAACCTTGTTACCAGCAACTTACTGAACAGGAGTAAACAGGTTCTTATTGAGGGTTTCAACTACTATTTGAAGTCATACTTAGCTGTTGCTTTTCATTTACTGTGGTTTTGCAGAAAACCTTTGAGATTTTCTAGGATATCTTGGCAATTTGTCAACATTTTATCAATATTTCTTCTAGAATTGCTCTGAGAACTTCAGTTGAAGAAAGTGAGTGATGTGTTACTTCACTTTATTGGAGACATTAAAGTCTCTGGGAGATCCTTTGACCACTTGACATCTTGCTAGGGACCACCTTTGCCTGGTGGAGAACATGAGATCAAGCATTGCAACTGCTGCTGCAGATGAGAGGAACAAAAGGGTGAGGTGGGATTCCTTCCCAACACCTCATCCCCCACCCTCTCCCCAACCTCCTTCCTTACCCCCAGTGGATACAATACATCCACGTTCCACTGGGACCTGCAGTGTCAAGGCCAATGACCCTTTGTCCTCGGTGCTTGAGCCATCCTAAGATGTATGGCTGTGTGTCAACCAATGCAATCCGCACTTTCAACAGAAGTCATGGCATGGAGTCTACATACACTGCTGTATTTAAAATTAATGCTTGAATGGTAAAATTGCACATTGAGCATTCAAACCTTGTCTTTTTTTTTAGTGTCTCCAGGCAAATTTAAGTCATGACAATCATCATTGACTCCCAAATTACAAACAAAAACCAGAGTTTACAACCAGCCAGTATGATGAATATAGCACCTATTTAGTTCATCCTGTTACCAAAATAATTCTCCAAGTATTATAAATGAACACTCGCTCTGTCGTCTGGCCGCTGCTGAAGGATTAATTTTTCAGGTCTTTGTAATACACATTTTACCAAATCATAATTTTCCTCATTAGATTAACATTGACAGTTGGAATAAAGCAAGCTATGCTGTCAGACTGTTAGCATATTAAGAGCAATGCCCACATGAAGACCTTGCAGCAACAACAGCTATTTATATTTATGAACTGTCTTTCTCTATGTAGTAAAGTATCCCAAGGTAGTTCTCTGGAGCAATATTAAACTGTATTTGAGTTCAAGACGTGCAATGATGTATTGGGACAGATGGCCAAAACGTTGTTCAAGTATGACTTAATGGAGCCTGATAAAGGAGGAAGGAGGTGAAGCTTTGGATAGTAGGGCCTATGCAGCTGAAGATATTGTTGCCAATGGTAGTGAAAAATAGTACTCTTTAAAGCTGAAAGCAGAGGAACACTACTTGTAGAAACTGTACAGTTACAAGAAGTTGCAGAGATGGGGACGAGTGAGACGATAGTGGAGTTTGAAGCCTAGAAGGAAATTTTTAAAATGGAGGTATTGCTAAACTCAGGACTAGTGTATGTCAGGGAGCACAAGATTGATGGATGCATGGGCCATGGTGTGTGCTCTGAATTGGACAGTAGGGTTCTAGATAGTTTCAGGTTTGTGGAAGGTGCAATGTGGGAGGCCTAACTGGAGACCATTTGAAAAGATGAGTTGAGGAGGGGAAAAGTGGGATAGTTGAATATTTCTGCAGCATGTGAGCTGTGATAGGGCAGATTTTACTGCTGATATGGAGTTCTTGCAGGTGTTATGCAGGTGGCTTCAGTTATAGAGAAGATAACTCCGGCCTGAGTGCGCTCATTGTCAAAAAAAGAAATGCAAAGTTCACAAATGAACTTGTATAGCTACAGACAATAGTTAAAGGAAAAAGTGGAGTTGATGACAAGGCAGTGACATTGACCAAAGATAATGGCTTCGGACTTTCCAACATTCAACTGGGGGAAATTTCTGCTTACTTGATGTCAGATGAGCAGCATAACACTTTGGCGATTGAGAGGGGTTAAGGTCATGGTGTGGATGTTATCACTGTACATTTAGAACCAACTGAATGATGTTACTGAGGAATAGCATGTTGATGAGAAATAGGTTGGGACCAACAGTGAATCCTTGGACTCCAGAGGAGCAGTGTGGAGGTGGGCTCTGAATCTATTTTGGGTGATTCTCTGGACTTGATAGATAGATAAGAATGGAAGTAGGCATGAGTAGTCTCACCTGTCTGGATGACTGAGGAGAGACATTGGAAGAAAATCTTTTCAGTTCTACGAAAGGCTGCAGATAGCTTGAAAAGGATGAGGAAGGAATGTTTATCATAGTCACAAATTATATTCTATGTGACTTAGGTGATGGTAAAGACTATTTTAATGCTGTGACGAGGGAAGGATGCATTGGAGTTGCAGGAAAAACTTGTGAAGCAACAGCATACTCAAGAGTACAAGACGAAGTAGATCATTTGTGGTGGGAAGATGATGGCAGATTTCAAAGGGTGGTGGCTTTCATCTTTAAAAATGAATACAAAGTATAGTTGTTGTGTCTTTTAGTCTTGCTATGTGTTCTTGTCTGATGTTTACTGCTCTCGAATGATCCATTTCAACTGGGTATCAACCCAAATTTAAGCCCCCATAGTGTGCAGTGAAGAAAAGAAATCAGGGACTATTTCAAGAGCTGGATAAAAGGAGCTTCCTGGCTAAATTTGATCAATAAGTCATAGTTTGGCACACGCCCCATCTGATGACTGAAAATGCTGTGAGAAAGCTTTCAACCATTATTGATACAATTTCAGAAGTGACTATCAATTTTCAACATAATGAAAAATGGGTTTGAAGTATCTCTAATTGGAGGTATCAAACATTAAACTGCAATTATAATTCAAACCTATGCCAGATTTTGATAACTTGTAGAGTTTAACACATCCCGTTTATTTGCTTTCTTTTTAAGGTCAAGGCAGCTTTGGATATTGTAACTGAACGACACAGCACCTTCACTGATATTGGAAATAGCTCCTCCCACGTAGGCCACATTGTCAAAGACCTGTGTAACTTTGAAGAAAAGTCTCGGGTAATTGCTATATTATTTGAATTCTGTGAAACTATTTAGAAGTTGGTGTGTTTCTGGGCCTTTTAATCAATCTTCCACATGAAAGATTTGAAAATGGGTTACCTCTAAGCCTGTTTAGCCATGTACTGCAATCAGTTCATTGTTTGATAAGGGAATAAAAAAGACACTAAAAGTGCAAATGGAGGGGGCCAGTGCTCGGGAGAAGTCAATATGGTTTCAAAGTCAAGTAACAGGGCAAAGAGTAAAGATGCAGTCACAATCCTACTTCAGGTACAACACATAATGGCAAAATTATAAGCAGTGCACTGATTAAACTAGAAAGAAATAATACAGACGTGAATAGAACACAGCATTTGAGGAACAGTTTAAAGTTGATGGCCTGATTAAGGGTTCTCTGTACAAATGCATTAATGAATAAATTTAAATAAATGAGATGAGCTGCATGTGGGTGGAACTGAGAACAGTAAAGGATCTAAAACTGCAGTCGGTGTGTATAACACTCCCTGGTAAAGAATCTGATCTGCTAGATTGTGCAAGTACAGAAAATAGGCAAAGCTGGAGTAGTATTAATGTGGGATTTTAGCTATAACACAAATTGGCAGAGGTAGACAAGTATCTGTCAGAAAGAGAATTTCTGGAGTGTGCTTGGAATAGTTTCCGACAGCAATATTTCCTGGATGCAATAAGGGGACAGCAATATTGGATTTAGTAATGAGTAATGACCTGGATTTAATTAGTAAGCTAGTTGTGCCTGAGCATTTGTCAAATAGTTATCATAACATGATCACATTCAATGTATCTTTGAATGAATCAGCTGCTAGATTTTAGATTTAGGTAAGGCTGAATTTAATGAGACGAGACAGAGATTATCCACAGTAAACTGGGAAATTTTCCTAATGGGTAAAACAACTGAAGGATGTTTTAAAGAAACATTTAACTCAATACAAAACCAGTTAATAATCCTGAGAAGGAAAAGTTCCACCACACAGGAAAAACAGCCGTGGACAATTGAGGAGTTAAGGGACAGCATAAAACTAAATAAAAAGGCTTACTGAAGATGCAAAAATCAGCACAGATCCTGTTGAATGGAAAAGGCGCAAAGATTAGCGAAGGGTCGCAAAGCAGCTTGTAAGTGCTACTAAAAGAATTATGAAAGGAACCTCAATAGGGGCATCAAAATCAGCAAGAAGAAATTTTAGAGGTACATAAGGGGAAAGCAGTGGTGAGGAGTGATGTTGGCCCACTAAAGACTGAAAATGGGGATACTGCCAATAACTTTTGGGGGGAAAATGGCACAAGTGCTGACTAATTACTTAGCTTCAGTAATTACAGTAGCGAAGGAGGATAGCAGAGGTTTCATGGAAATTAATAGTGGGCTGGGGGCAGGGAATGAATGAATTTAAGATATGTGAAACATTAATAATGAGGAAATTAATGGAATTAAAGAGTGAGAAATTCCTAGGATCTGATGGTTTCCATCCAAAAGCATTAAAGGAAGCCAGGGAGTGGATTGTAGACAGCCTAACTAATCCTTCAGAGTGCCCTAGACACAGGTTTGGAAAATGCCACATGTCACTCCACTTTAAAGAAGAGTGGAAAAAGAAAGCCAGGGAATTACAGACCATTGATCCTAATACCTGTGGTGGGGATATTGTTGGAGTCTACAATCAAGGTTGGGGGTAACTGAACTCCTCCAAATTTTCAGTCAATCAGGGACAATAATATGGATTCATGGCAGGTCGGTTATACCTGACAAAACTCATCGAATTTGTTGAAGAGGTGACTGAGATAGTGGATAGGGAAATGCCCACGGCTGATGTTTATATGGATTTCCAGAACACCTTTTAATAAAGTCCCACAGAAGAGGTTGTTCACTAAAGTAGAACCCCTGGGAATTGAAGGCAAATTACTGACATGGCTGGGAAATTGGTTGAGTGGCAGGTGACAGAAAGTAGGGATAATGTGCAGATTCTTGAACAGGCAGGATGTGACCAGTGGTGTCCCACAAGGATCTGTGTTAGCGCCCCAATTATTCACATTATTTAGTGTGAGGTTATCTATTTTGGACCAAAAAAAAAATCACAGTACTTTCGAGAAGGTATGCAGTTAAATACAATGGATGTTCAAAGAGACATGGGGATTCAGGTGCATGGATCTTTAAAATGCCATGAATAGGTGCAGAAATTAATCAAGCAAATTAATGGAATGCTGGCTTCTATATCTGGAGGACTGGAAAATAAGGATGCAGAAGTTATACTGCAGTTCTGCAAAACTCTGGTTAGGCTCCACTTGAAGTACTGTGAGTAGGTCTGGGCATCACACCTTTTGGAAGGATATTTGGCTTTGGAGGGAACACAGTGTAAGTTTATAAGACTTCAAAGGCTATGTAATGAGGAGAGATTACACAAATTAGGCCAGTTTTCTCTCAAAATTGGAAGGTTAAGGGGTGATCTGATCGAAGTCTTCAAAATATTAACCAGAAAAGACATGGTAGATGAAGATAAACTACTTCCACTGTTTGGGGATTCAAGAGCTAGGGAGGCACAATTTTCATTAGGCAAAGGTATTGATGGAAATGGGCCAGAGGCAGGTATATGGAGTTAAGACACAGATCAGCCATGATCTCATTGAATTACAGAATATGATCGTGGGCTGAATAGTGTCCTCCTGTTCCTAACCAGATACACAATCTCATTCAAGAGCACATCTTGGTCTCCCAACAAGTATTTACATCAAATTTTGGGTGAAGTCGAATGTAACAAGGCCAGGATAGAGTTGTTTGTTGAGATTCTAATCGGGTGCTGGAAGCAGAAGGGATGGGAACCAGGCAGTTAATAGACAAGCTCCAGATGAGGTCACCTTCAACAAGAAAAAAATCTAATTATCTCCTGGTGGTATTCATTAACATTGCCGCTCTCTGTCCTGTCAACATCCTGGATATTTCTATTGAGAAACAGAACTGGACCAACCATATCAATACTGTGGCTACAGGAAGAGGTCAGAGGCTGAAAATTCTATAGTGCATAACTTACCGCCTGGTATGTCACCATTCACAAAGAATTAAAGTATTTGAGGATTACCAAGGAGATAAACACTCCACAGCGCTCAACAATAAGCTGCCTCACAGTACCAGGGACCCTGGTTCGATTCCACCCTCGGGCGATTGTCTGTGTGGAGTTTGCACATTCTCCCCGTGTCTGCGTGGGTTTCCTTTGGGTGCTCCAGTTTCCTCCCACAGTCCAAAGACCAGCAGGCTAGGTGGATTGGCCATGCTAAATTGCCCATAGTGTGCAGGGATGTGTCGATTAGGTGGGTTACAGGAGTAGAGGGATGCGTGTGGGTGGGATGCTCTTCGGAGGGTCAGTGTGGACTTGTTGGGCCGAAGGGCCTGTTGCCACTCTGTAGGGACTGTATGATTCTATGAATATGCATTTTTCTGAAGTATATTATTTTTTTTAAAATATCTCCATGAACATATGCTAATTGTATCATGTTAACTTTTTTTCTGGCTTTCATTAATCAAAGCTCATTTATGTTTTCTGAATTGTAAATGCAGCTAGAAAGGAAAAAACCAATGTTACAGTATTTTGAAAGAAGCCTCATGTTTGTGTTGTAACAGGAAGTATTAGAGAAAGCTGAAGCCTTGGCAGTCCAAGGGGATCACCTCATAGAGGACAATCACTATGCTGTGGATTCAATTCTTCCCAAATGCATCGAGCTGCGAGCTGTCTGTGGCAACCTAGCGAATGGCCTAAAAACCAAAAAGGAACTGCTTAACCAGTCAATGGAGTTGCACAAGAGGCTGGATCAGGTAGAATTAATACTGAACTATACAGAAAGTTAGAAATTGTATAGAATACAAGCATCTGCATTAAATGTACTGTCTACAAGATGCTCGGTTCAGGCATAGAACCTCACCAACTGGGTTTGCTAATGGTAAATATCCTTTCTGAAAAGTTGATGCTTGCCATTCTGTTGAGAAATGAAAGGACCGTAATCAAACCGCACATCTTATGACCGGATGCACACTTTGAAGAGATAATCTGAGCAGAGATGGAGATTTTTTTGTTCTAATCCAAATAGATTTTTGTTTTTCTTACTCTTTCATGGAATGTAATTGTTGCTGGTATAGCAGTATTAATGTCCAATCCTGTACGCACTCAAACTGAGGGGCTTGCTATTTTCCCAGTCCCTGAATGACACGGACAATAGCAAGTAAGTTGGGAAAATATGACCAGATCGGAAAAATGAGATTCTTGATTTCGGACCACGTGTTGGAACAGTGATGTGAGAGTCTCACTAGTAAGTGGTAAGAGGCCTATTTGCATGTATTTAGCAGCTCATTATTACCTTATCTTGTCTCTTTTATAAGCAGTTTGCTGTTCTCCCATGCAGTGGAGAGAAATAAAAGGTGATGGTTTCCAACTTGAAAGTCAGAGTGATTACCTGTTGTCAGCTACAGCTCGCTGCCTGCTCCTGCAGGTCTCCATTGGTCAACAGTCCCCAAAACCTCTCAACATGCTCCTTGGGTAGTCACCATCTGCGTGGCCTGACCGTGGAAGTTGGCATGAGACATGCACCAGCCTCTCCACGTTGTCAAAGCATGTCTCTACCAGGAAGACGTTACAATCACCCATCTTATGGTTTAGAGCAGGATAACACTCAACACTCTTTGCTTGCTCTCCAAGCAATTGCCTGTATTACACCTACTTGGATGCCCCTGACATCTCCACCTCATGTTGGCCTTGCCTTTTTGCACCTTTTTTTTATCATTCAGAACTTTTCAGGTTTCTGTCTACTTTACCTGTTAGTGCAGAGACACAGCAACATTCCCAGCAGTGATCAGTCAATGGGGTGGAGATGAATGTGCTTTAACTAAGTAGCCGTGTCTGAAAGCCTAAGGGAATTAGTCATTAGGGTGTTGGCACAGTAAGTCAAGGGACTCATCTGATAGCCATCCAGGGGTCATTTGGCTGCTTGGAACGGTTAGGGGTTCCATGTCTTTTCAGTGCAACCAGGCTGTTGATTAGTGATAAGTCTGCATAGTTTGATTTCCTGTAGCTGCAGTTCCTCTAACAGTTGATCAGACGAGTGTTGATGTAAAGTGGCAATACATTTACAAATGTGAGCTTCCATTTGCAATGAAGCGTCACCGAAGCCACATTTTTGCCCTCAGAAGTGTTTGCCTCCCACTACGTCTATGCGTGACTGGCAGCGATGGAGCTGGTGCAGGGTCTAGGCCCGAAGTGTCAGCCTTTCTGCTCCTATGATGCTGCTTGGCCTGCTGTGTTCATCCAGCCCTGCACCTTGTTGTCTCTTTAGCTGGTGCATAGCTGGGTTTTCAATATGAAGTCATGAACAGTTCTGTCATTGACCAATGTGAATCAGTGCCACACCCTCGAGGCATGTTGCATATAAAATGGGGTGAACATCGGAGAATTGCCAAAATAACTCTCTAGAACTTAGAGAGAAGCTCTCCCTGAAACTTCCACAAATTGACTCCTTGCTAATTTTTAGTAAGATTTCAGTCCTGTGAGTGTAACAGATTTTATTCAGAGTGCTTTAAAATATCTACTCCATGCTTTAACTCAGACTGCCAGCTCTTTCTGTAACTTTATTCATTTTTTCCTGACTCTACTCCCAGGCAAATTAACTAAACGCAGTGAGCATCAATTGCAAACAGACATACAATTAAACGTAGAGCAGTTAAACCATTAGATAGCACATTCCCTGTTTCAGGTTGTTTTTTAACTTTTTGAAGCCATTGAACTGTTGAATTGTCCATTCTTGATGATGTGCATCACTTTAATGCTTCCTGAACATAGTGTTTGAACTTCTGCTAGAAGCTGACAATGGCCCTCTAGTCTGTTTGCAAAATGTAGAAAACTTTTGAATTCACAAGAACAGTTTAAGAGGGCATGATGGAGTAGATGCTGGGAGTGTGATTTTTCCTGGCCAGGAAATCTAGAACTAGGGGCCATAATTTCTCAATATGGGTTGGTCAGTTAGGACTGAGAGGAGGAGAAATTTCCTTACTCAAAGGGTTGAGCCTTCTGACAGGCCTTTGAGCCTAGAGTTGTTTGGAAAGCAAAAGAGTAAGTTGGGTTGGGCATTGAGCTTCTATACAGTACAGGCTGACGAGCTGGAAGACACAAAGCAATGTTGTTCATAACATTTAGTATACATATAACTCGAGCATAATAAATGACATGCGTGTAAACATGTTAGCTTTGTAATCATATTATAATGAAGGAAAAGTCGCCATACTGTTAACAGACCATGGGGCTAGTCCCCCATTAGAGAGAGGGGACTGGTGCTGGTTTAACCTAAGGGTCATCATGCCTCACCGTGAGGGGACAGGTTGAGAAGGAAAATCTTTAATGGTAACTTCAGTCAGTGCGGTTTAATTTTTAATGTGCTTTATTTTCAAAATGCAATTCTGATGATGCCACAACTCATAGCATTGGCATCATTATCATCATACAAGCTGCTACAGAAACAACCTGTCTGTTGGAGGCATGTCTGTATTATGGGATGTGCTGCTTTTCTCCACATCAGCCATTTGTCATGAAAGACTGCAAATCTCTGATCGGCTGATTAAAACAATTAGCTCAGACTTTTCTGTCAAAATAATTATGAGACTACTGACTTACTTTAATACTGCAATTTGTGGAGAGGAACGGCTGTGTGATTGAACTCCAGTATCTAAGAGTTACTGTTTAAGTTGTGCCTCTCCTCCATATCTTTATGTTAACTTTATCTTTCTCTGTCTGCCCCATCATTGAAATGCATTAAATGGCAATGGCCAGGCTGTATGATCACTAGACTATTAGTCCAGCAACTCACCTAATGTTCTGGGGACCCAAGTTTGAATGCCACCAAAACAGATGATGAATTCAGTAAATACCTGGAATTAAGAAACTAATGATGACCATGAAAGCACTGCCGATTGTTGGAGAAATCCATCTAGTTCATCAGTGTCCTTCAGGGAAGGAGATCTGCCATTCTCACTTGGTCTGTCCTGTGCGTGACTCCAGACCCACAGCATTGTGGTTGACTCTCTACTGCCCTCTGAAATGGCTGAGCAAGCCACGCCATTATATCGAATGCCATGATGTCTAAACAGGAATGAAACCAGGTGGACCATTTGGCATTGTCACTGTTGTTTCCAATGCCGAGGTCAGAAACAGCCCTGTTGCTCCTGCAGTGTCCTCCTGACTAACATTTGGGGGCTAGTGCCAAAACTAGGAGAGTTGTCTCAGACTGGTCAAGCAATGGCCTGACACAGAATCATACCTTACAATGTGCCATACACTACCATCACCATCCCTGGGTAGGTCCTGTCCAACCAACAGGACAGACCTGTCAGAGGTGTTGGAATGGTGGATTACAGCCTGGAAAGAGTTGCTCTATGAGTCCTCAACATTTATTCTGGACCCCATTAAAGTCTCATCAGGTCAAACAGAGACAAGGAAACCTCCTGCTGGTTACCACATACCATCCTCCCTCAGCTGCTGAATGAGCCCTCCTCCGTGTTGAGCAACACTTGGGGGAATCATTGAGGGTGGCAAGCGCACAGAATGTATTCCAGGTGGGGTCCTTCAATATCCACCACCACAAGTGGTTCGGCAGCAACACTATGGTGTGAGCTGGTTGGGTCCTAAAGGACGTTGCTGTTAGACTGGATCTAACAGCAGGTAGTAGATGACTTGACTTAGACTCCACACTGTTAGGGAAACAGGCTCTTTGGCCCAACAAATCCACACTGTGACTCTCAGGTAATGTGAGAGAAAAAATATTTGACCTCATCCTCACTAATCTGCCTTTTGCAGATGTATCTGACCTTGACAATCTTGATAAGAGTGACCACTGTACAGTCCTCATGGAGGTCAAGTCCCACCTTCACATTGAGAATACTCTCCATTGAATGAGTTGTGTGGCACTAGCACTGTGCTAAATGGGACAGATTTTGAGTAGATTGAGCCATTAACAGCAGCAGAATTATAACACTTATACAATCTACAACCTCCTGACCATTACCATGAAGTATGGGATAAGCACTGGCTCAATCGAGAGTGCAGGAGGGCATGCCAGGAGCATCACCAGGCCTACCTAAACATGCATTGTCTACCTGGTGAAGCTATCATACTTGTTTTAGCTATCATATTGTTTGCCAAACAGCTAAATGATCCGACAAGCAACGGATCAGATCTAAGCTCTTCAGTCCTGCCATATCCAGTCGTAACTGGTGGTAGAAAATTAAACAATTCAGTGGAGGAGGAGGCTTCACAAGTATCCCCATCCTTAATGATGGAAGAGCCCAGCACATCAGTGCAAAAGAGAAGGCTGAAGCATTCGCAAAAATCTTCAGCTGGAAGTGCTGAGTGGATGATCTGTCTCTGCCTCCTCCAGTGATTCTGAGAATGACAGATTCCAGTCTTCAGGCTATTCAGTCACATGGAGTGCATATCAAGAAACAGGTCAGAGGCTACTGGATACTGCAAAGGCTTATGGGTCCTGTCAACAATTTGGCAATAATATTGAAGACTAGTGCTCCCAAACATGCCGCACCCCCAGCCAAGCTGTTCCAATGTGGAAAATTGCCAGGTACATCCTGTACTCCAAAAGCAGGACAAATCCAACCCAGCCAATTACTGTTTCATCAGTCGACCATTGATCATCTGTAAAGTAATGAAAATTGTTTTCAACAGTGCTATCAAGCAGCTCCTGCTCAGCAACAACCTGTTGCTGTTTGCGTTCTATTAGAGCAGTCTGCTCCTGAGCTCATTACCGCCTTGATTAAAATATGGACAACAGAGCTGAATTCCAGAGGTGAGGGGAGAGTAATTGTCCTTGACATCAATGCACTAAGTGTGGCATCAAAGAGCCCTAGCAAAACTGGAATCAATGGAAATCAGAAGGTGATATTTGGCACATAGTAAGGTCAGTGATCTTGCTGGAGGTCAATCATCTCAGCTCCAGGACACCTGCACAGGAGTTCCTCAAGGCAATGCCCTCATTTGAACCATCTTCAGCTGCTTCATCAATAACCTTCCCTGCATCATAAGGCCAAAAGTGGGGATGTTTTCCTATGCTAGTGTAATGTTCAGCACCATTCTTAATCTCAGATGTTGAAGCAATCAGTGTTCAGATGCAACATGCCCTGGACAAGGCTTTGGCTGCATAGTGGCAAATAACATTCATGCCACACAAATGCCAGGCAATGATTTATCTTCAATCGGAGGCAATCTAAACACTGCCCTTCCACTCAATGAATTTACCATCACTGAATCCCCGATTATCAGCAACCTGGGGGTTACCATTGGCTAGAAGCTCAATGGGACTCTCTTTAAACACAATGGCTACAACAGCAGGTCAGAGGCTATGAAAACTACAGCAAGTAACTCCCCTCCTGATTCCCTGAAGCCTGTCCACCATCTACAAGGCACAAGTCAGGAGTGTGATGGAATACTCCCCACTTGCCTGGATGGGTGCAGCCCCAACAACACTTATGAAGCTCAACATCATCCAGGACAAAGCAGCCGCTTGATTGGCACCACATCCTCAAATGTTCATTCTCCCCTCCACCGATGCTCAGTAGCAGCAGAGTGTACTATTTACAAGATGTACTGCAAGCCCTACACCAACCTGACTTGGAGTTATATCACCGTTCCTTCACTGTTGCCTAGTCAGAATCTTGGAAACTCCTCCCTAACAGCATTGTGGGTCTACCTAGAGTATATGGACTACAGTGGTTCAAGAAGGCAGCTCACCACCACCTTCTCAGCAACTAGTGTCAGGCAATAAATGCTGGTGAGCCAGTGACATCCACATTCCATGAGTGAACTTTAAAAATGAAGGACATTGTTGTATTTGCATGATAAGTGTCAACTAAAACTGACACGGGAAGTTAAACGTTGCCCATTCCAGTTTAAATACCCCATTAACAATGTGATACAATATTTAATTACTGCAAATAAACCTTCCTGACCCTGAAAATTGGTTTTAAAATATAATTTTGAATGAACATTTTCCTTTTTAATTCTGTAATTTTATCTCTCTTAATCCAGTCTTTCCTTGCTCTTTATTTCTCCTCTGTAGCCAATTCAAAATTTGAATTTTGATTTATACTTCCTCTTAAGTCCTTCAATCTTTTCATGTGCTTGGTTAAGATACGCAGGTGATTGCCTTGTTTGCTCAGGTCCCAGATGTGTTTGATAACCTACGGCAATGTTATCAGTTTACACTTCCAGTAACTTGCCAAGAAAAATTTCAAAAGTCAACACATGCAAGGACGTACCTGGTTAATGACAGTTGTGTTTAGATGTACTAGTGCAGAAAAATCTGTTCCAGTAATCATTTCACTGTTATTTTTACAGGGATTGAGCTTGTTCGAAGAGAACACCCATATTGAATATAGGCAGATCTGGAGATTATTTCTAATTGTGATTACTAAAGTTAAAAAAAAAAATCAGTTGCATGTACTTGTGAGTAACATGCTCTTTACAACAATTTGAAGCCCTGGTTTTTATCAGCAAGGAGTTTCAAATTGTTTCAGCATTTGCTTAACTAAAATTATTGGAAGCGTTCCCTGAGGCAGCAAAGCTTTTATGATGTTGGGTTTCCCATGTGCCTTTTTGGTTAAATACATACCATGGTCTTGTAAAATCTATTGTGTATGGCCTTTGTTTAAAATGTTTCCTATGATGTATGTGTTCCTGAGTACATGAATGAAAGAAACCCCTCTACCTGCTTTCTCTTGGCCTTCCCCAGATTACTTGGGCTCACCAAAATGCTGCTTGATCACTCCTTCATGTCAACCATATTTTTGGCAGGGATTGGCATATGGTTTACAGCCAGTTGCTAACCCTCCTCATTAATCTGGGTTATGGACAGGGTTGTGGTGCCAGTGACTGAGATATATCGCTGCCAAGCCAATTAATTTTGATGTCTTATTGTGCCTGTACTGATTACACTCTCTCCTCTTTCCCGTAGGCTATGCAGTGGTGTGATTCTGGGATTTATTTGCTAGCCTCTCAATCTGTTGACAAATGTCAGTCTCAGGATGGGGCAGAGGCAGCCCTGCGGGAAATTGAGAAATATCTGGACACCGCATCAGGCCAGAAACTGGACGATCTTAGTAACATCACTAACGAATATAAAACTATAGTCGGAGGTGAACTCATGGTAATTATTTGAAAATAATGGAGGATAAATATTGGTATTAATGATCCTGTGACTCGGATTCCTCGGGATGAACTTGCTTGCATTTAGACTGAGCTTACCTGCATCAAAACTTTTCAGTACTGACCTCCCAATAAAGTTTGTAAAGTGAAATAAATCAATGACCACAAGCTGTGCACAAAGCTGCTTATGCTTTTCAGAAGGGCATTAGTGAGATTGTGCACTACTCTGGGGACGTAGTCTGTCCTCTTCACTTTGGAGAGTTATACCTCATTAGAATCAGTTTGCAGTATGTTTACCATGCTGATTTCTGGGATGAAAGACCTATCTTGTAAGGCAAGGTTGGGCAGTGTGGAGCTGTGCTCATTGGAGTTTATTGGAATGAGAGGTGATCTTATTGAAACATTTTTAAGATTCACAGAAGTCTTGATAGAATAAACGATGAGGGGATGATTCTCCATGTGGATGATGTCCTGGCTCAATCCACATAATAAAAGTAGAATTCTTCCATTTAAAGTGGGGATGAAGAGGAATTTATTCCCTCAGGATCGTTAGCCCTTGAAATTCTGTTCTACAGAGAGCAGTGAAGTTGAGTTATTCACATATTCAAACAGTCCTTTGATCTAAAAGGGAGCTGATGTTTATTGGATGCAAGTAGGAAGGTAGACCAAAGTCATATCAATCATGGTTTTGATGAATGTTACAGCAGGTTTAAGTCACATATTTCTGCTCCAATTTCTTGTGTTTATGTTTTAAACTTTGGTAGCTGCCCTGGTATCTTGAAACGGGTTGAAGTGGTGGAGAATGTCCAGGCTCCCTTTTTTGCATTTAACTCAGTTTCATTCCCTTTGACCACCTGAGTAAGGGCCAGTCTTAAAAACATAAAATCTCTTGCATTTCTTTATGTAACATTTTGTTTCGTTGAAGTAGAGCCAACTGGTGTTCCCCTTATGAATATATATTTCCTTTCTCTGGTATAGCAGCTCACTGTAGACCACAGGAGTGGGAACTCGCTGTACAAGTAGTCCCTACTCACTGTTACATTGCCCAATAGCCCCATCATTTGTGTTTGTTGAGTGGTTAAAAGCTCCACTTGGTACGAAGCATTTTAACAAACAAAAGGGGCCCTGATGCATTTGGATCTCTGCTGAGTTCCAAGCGACTTCACTAGAATCCTTTTGAAAACCATCTGAAAACAGTCAGTAAATCCCTCTACTCAACCACTGCCTGCTTGCACCTACCATTGTCTACACCCGCCCCACTCCCCCATCTCGAGGATTCCTGCTCTTAGATTAATCCAAATAGTAGCTGAAGGAGTTGAGATTGCCTGAAACAGTGGTAGCATTTAAGCAAAGACCGGGGTGCACTGGCCTCCCTACTTTCACCTACCCACTCGGTTGGTTGCAACAAGGTTAACTTAAACAGTATCCCTACCTTTTGTGAACAACACTTAACGAAAGAGTGAGATTGTTAGTTGGTAAATGCGAGAAGAATATATGTACAATAAGAACTTAATCCAAGAAAAGAAGGAAATTTCCAAAAAAAAAATCTGAGATGTTTGTAACTGGCAGGATTCAGAGTGAGAATTTTTTTCTTTCCCCTTTCTTTACCCTCATTGTAATGGTGTTTTAACTTTTCTTTTATTCGTTCAGCGGATGTGGACTTCACTGGCAATGCCAGCCTTTGTTGCCCATCCATAATTACCCTAGAGAAGGGTTTGTGAACTGCCTTGTTGAACTGCTATAGTCTGTTTTGGGTAGGTACACCCACAGTGCTGTTGGAGAGGGGCTTCCACGATTTTGACCTAACAACAGTGAAGGAACAGCTTTTCTGAAGAAGGGTCTAGACCCGAAACGTCAGCTTTCCTGCTCCTCTGATGCTGCTTGGCCTGCTGTGTTCATTCAGCTCTACACCTTGTTATCTCAGTGAAGGAACAGCGATGTGTTTCCAAGTCAGGAGTGAGTGACTTGGAGGGGACTTGGTGGTGTCCTTTTATGAGTGTCATGTTGTTTCACTTCATTTTGCAGGATCGTGTTCTAAAAACCTTTCAGAAGCAAGAGGAGATGGAGGAGATGTTTGAAAAGCGAAGCATAAGTCTTAAGAAGCTGGCTGCAAAACAAACCCGTCCAGTGCAACCAGTTGCTCCTCGACCTGAAGGAGTTCCAAGATCACCTATCCCCTTCCCCAGCAAAGGTATTGGTCAACTTTTTCAAAAGTGAGAATCATACAGTCATACAACACAGAAACAGACCCTTCGTCCCAACTCGTCCATGCTGACCAGGTTTCCTAAACTGAACTAGTGCCATTTGCCTGAGTTTGACCCATATCTCTCTAAACCATTCCTATCTATGTACCTGTCCAAAAGTCACCTCTACCACTTCCTCTGGCAACTTGTTCCATATATGCACCCACCTGTGTATGAAAAAGTTGCCCCTCAGGTCCCTTTTAAATCTTTCACCTTAAACCTATGCCCTCCGGTTTTGCACTCCCCTATCCTGGGGAAAACACCTTGGCAATTCACCTTATCAATGCCCTTCATGATTTTATAAACCTCTATAAGGTCACCCCTCAACCTCCTACCCTCCAGGGATAAAAGTTCCAGCCTATCCGGCCTCTCCTTATAACTCAAATCCTCCAGTCTTGGTAACATCCTTGTAAATCTTTTCTGCACCTTTTTCCAGTTTAATAACGTCTTTTTCTAAAGCAGGGCAGCCAGAATTGTAAGCTGTACTCCAAATGTGGCCTTACCAATGTCTTATACAGATGCACTCGGTACTCTGACTGATGAAGACAAGCATGCCAAATGCCTTCTTTACCACCTTTACTATCATTTTGTATAAGATTTCAAGCCTTTTTATCATTTGTTGGAATTTTGTAGATACTATAGCTTAACTTGACCTTACCTCTGGTAATCACACATTCACAATGTTACTTTGTTGATTACATTTGCAGTTCAGGGAGTGCAGAACAACCTTACATTTGGTTAGAGCTAGGTTAATAAATTGCACTTGAGTTTTGTTTAATCTTTCAGATTTATTGATACTTTCAATTTTATATATCCTGTCTAAAGTTTCTAAGACATTTTATTAGTAGGGTTTCTGTCACAGAATTGCTGCTAATAGAAGCTGTGAGAATAAAAATGATACACAAGTTTTTCAAGCGTTCAATCCCTTTAGTGGCAAGATGCAGGAGTTGTAGTGGAAATGACCTGTATCAGGAACACACAGAGTGAAAAAGGCCCTTAGATAACAGAAGATTTATTAGTGGCTTAGCATGTAGATGAGAACTGACCACACTTCCTCATACAGTGAGATGTGCTGGATAGGATAACAAGGAGTATGTCTCAATTGTTCAGTAAGTATCAGTCTCAGCATTTGCAGCAACTTGATGAAGATACTGCACCAGTTGAGTAGCAAGCACATGACAACAAAAAGGAGTACTTGCTGTACTCCGAAATCCTGCATCCTCCAGACCCCCACCAATCTTTTCACCCTCACTGCATTCGTGATCGATGATGAAGCGATCATGTGTGTCTCTCACAGCAACCTTGGAATTTGCACAAAAATGAATTGCCTTTGGTCAACATTTGCCTTTTTTTTTGTTACACGATTGCTGGTTAACCTCAATAACATTAAGATGTCACTGTTCAATTTGCAAGTGTCAGTGGCATGGTGCAAATTTCCTTTGACCACATCTGACCTCCAAACACCTATACTGTGCAAACATAGTAAATAAAATGCAATTATTGCAAATTAAATGTAGTTGGCATTTGCAAATGGCTCATTTGTTTATGTGTTCCTTCAGTGCCCTATCTGTCAAGTGTGGATAGTGCCCTTTCACACATCAGATGGACTCTGCCCATCCTGGACATTGTGCCAGCCATTTTCTAGTAGCACTTTGCACCTACAGAATGACAAGTGGTGGCAGGGAACCAGCTTGTGGTAGATACTGTTTTCACTAAGCTCTGCCTGGTTACCAGGTACCCCTGGACCCTCCATACCTTCTCAATCTTCACACTCCCCAGTAGCCTATTTCCTCCAATGCCACTCTTCTACTCACATGTGGAGACTCACCACATTGACCTGGCAAAAATTGGAAGTTATCACTTTCAGGAACTTGAGTTCTCATTTCATGCACTTCTGCCGTGAAAATCTTTAGTCTTTCATGGTGAAAGTCAAAATGAACATGTCAGATGCAAGTGTAACTCAAAAAAAATGAAATGAACTTAAATCAATTACAATTACCAGGAAAACAGTACTAAGAAAATTATTTGAAATAAAGGTTAACAAATCGTCCTTTCCTGATGAACATGATCCTTGGGTCTTCAAAGAACCGGCTACTCAGATACTGAATGCATTGCTTTGCATTTTCCAAAATTTCCTTTCCGGAAAAGTCTTGTTAGATTGGAAAATAATGAATGTCACTCTTCTATTCAAGAAATGAGGGAGACAGCGAGAGGGAAACTGCAGTTGGTTAGCCTAATATGTCGTGCAGAATACGCTAGAAACTACTAACAAGATTTTAGCAGATTGACTTAATATTCTCAAGTAGTTGGGAAGAGTCAACATGGCCTTGTGGAAGGGAAAACCTTGTTGACTTTGTGAAGGTGTTTGGAGAAAGTGATGTGAATAAAGGAAATAGAGGTGCGGATAATTCTTTTCTCTCTGAGGGTTGTTAGTCTGTGGCATTGTCTTTCCCAGAGAGCAGTGGAGGCAAGGTCATTGAATATTTTCAAGGCTGTGTGGATTCATTATTGACTGACAAAGGATTCGAAGACTATGGAGTTAAACAAGAAAATGGAGGCCACAATTAGAATGGCCAAATTGTAATATGGCCTACTCCTAATTTAGTCAATTTAGCAATATTACTTAAGTGATTAAAATCACAAATAGTATTAGAAAATTAGTTAGGAAATGACTGATACAATCTTTCTGTAATCTTAGTATGTCTTTTCATAAATATCTGTTAATTACAGCAGCCTTGGGGATCCATGACTCCTGTTGCAATAAATATGCTGCTCTAGAGTGATTAGAGTTGTGTGCTATTTTCTTTATGAAATAGAAGCCAATTCCACGCTTTGTCCTCCCCTGCTCCTTTGTATGCATGCCAGCATTCAGTTTGCTGTATTTTTTTACCCTGTTATGTTTGAAACTAAGGAGTTTGCTCATCAGTTTATCCCACATACCGCTACCTGTTCATGACCAGAATTTCCTAACTTTTTCTTTATTCATTAATGGGATGAGGGCATCACTGGCCAGGCAGCATTTATTGCCCATCCCTAATTGCCCAGAGGGCAGTTTAGAGTCAACCACATTGCTGTGGGTCTGGAGTCACATGTAGGCCTGACCAGGTAAGGATGGCAGATTCCTTCCCTAAAGGACATTAGTGAACCAGATGGGTTTTTCCAACAATCAACAATGGATTCATGGTCATGCCAGTGAAGTGGAACAAATTTGCTTTCCTGTCAGATATGCAGATCTATGTGCCATTAGAAAAGTATCTGAATTGGAGGTTTCTTTGGGTGATTGCACTGCTAATTAGCTTCCCTGATTTAGTTTAGTAATGGATAATTCTCAAGTTGGCATAAGCATCGCTGATATAAATAAACTGGTGCACATTGAAACTGCTCTTTGTAGGAATGGCCTAAAGTTTGATTTGAATTATATTTTTATCTTTCAGATATCAGAAAAGGACATGATCCCAACTTCAGCCACAAAGCAAATGTGACTCAAATTAATCTGTTAAAAAGAAACAAAAGTCTTTCAAAGGTACAACAATATTTCAACTAAATTTTATAACCAGTGAGAAATTATTAGCTCTGAGGTATGGGTTAGTGGCCCGAACTGTGGCATAATTTAATCAGTAAGGTTTGACATATACCCATTACAAAGCTGATTTAAAAAAAGACAAAGAACTGCAGATGCTCGAAATCAGGGAAAAAAAAATTCACTGGAACATCTCAGCAGGTCTAGCAGCATCCCTGTAGAGCAAACAGACTTGTCTTTGGAGCAAAGTAGTTGGTTTTGGTTGGGTACCAGTGGCTTTCTGGTCTATTTCTGTTGCCACATTTTGAATTAGAGCACAAGGGAGAGGCATTTCAACTTACCATGCCAAATGGCCATGTTGGCACAAGTGCCAGTTTTCCATACATTCTAATTTTGAGGGGATCCGAACTATGCAGCCAAAATTCCTCATTGGAGACGGGAAAGAACCTTTTTAAAATGGATGATAATTTCAGAAAATGAATAGTTATAACCCTGAAATGCCTGCATTGTCTCAGCCTGTATTGCTAGTTACTGATCTTTCCCACAAACTGATGCTAGCATCAGTTAGAATGCCCTTGTTTTCAATGATATCCGTTGCCAGGTAAAAGAGTGAAATATTTGAGAAGGCATTTTCCTTGTATGGTTTAGCTGCTTAGACAATTTGTAACCATTCCTTTATCTTGTTTACAGCACAGGAGGGGACCATTGGGGCCCAATGTGCACGTGCCAGCTCTCTGCAAGAGCAGCTTGGCTAGTTGCAGTCCTGTTTATCGCACTTGTTTCCCCTAACTCTGTGCCCAGGTACTTATTGGATTCCCTTTGAAGATAATTAATTGAAGATTAAAGATATTCATTACTGAATAATGTAACCACGTTTCACAGGCACCTTGTTCCAGATCCTAACCACTCGTGACTGCAAATGTTTTCCCTCATTCCTCTATTGGTTCTTTTCTCTTCCTTCATTCCCTTGGATTCTCCATCTTTCTGCCAATGGGAACAATTTCTCTGTATCTACCCTGTCTACAACCTTACGTTTCAAGGTTTCTATCAAATCTTCTCTCAATCTTCACTTTTTAAGGAAAATAGCCCCAGCTTCTCCAATCTATCCAAGTAACTGAAGCCCCTCCATGCCTGGAACCATTCTCATAATTTTGTTTCCATGCCGTTTCTAAATCCTTTACATCCTTCCAAAGCATTGTCCCCAGAATTGGACATAATGGAGTTGAACCAATGTTTTATAAAGGCTCGTCATGGCTTCCTTTCTTTTGAAATCCATGATATTTATAAAGCCCAGAATCCTGTATGCCCTTTTATCTCTTACTCAATATGTCCATACAATTTGTACACATGTATCTATGTTCCTTGTGTGCCTTACGACAATTGGAAGATTATGGTCAGTGCTTCTACAGTTTCCACATTTCCTTTGCTCAGTGTCCATCTAATCTAATCCTAACAATTTTAAGTGCAGCCAACCTTTCTGATATCCTTTATCATTTTTAGCCTACTTAGTGTCTCAGCTATCTTCCCATTCTAGGGGATTGTCAGTCAGTTTGCAGTCCATGCTTGTACTAAGTAGGTAACTGGTGCCACGTTTCCTAGAGTAAACAATTGTATTATTTTCCTCATGGACATCTGGAAGTAATGGTTTGGACTTTGTGGTTTACACAGTTATAAGAAGCTCCCAAAGCCAAAATGTTACCCTGAGGATTTCCTCTCACAACCTCACTGCCCTTCCAAAAGTGTAAAGAATTTGAACGCATCAATGTGCAAAAAGTGTTTTGTTACTTGCAGCATGTCAGAGCCTGCTTTCCTGTTGGTTTCTGCAACTGTTATATTGTGGAATTCCTCTTTATCCCTGCACTGCAGGTGTGAGGCTTGCTGGCTGCAGAGAGAAGCCTGTGTACACTTAGCTAAAGACTTCTCTGAGTCAACCATGCTCAAGGGACAAACTGCATGAGAGTAAGGTCCATCAGTTTCCCATCTAGTGAATCATTAATTACACTGCCTTCTTGTATCTAACGGCTTTCATCAGCACATCCCCACATAATGTGCCCTGTATGATGGTGGTTTTCTGCCAGTTGCATAACTTTGTTATCTAACAGAAAGAACATGCCGGTCCACCACTGGCTGAGGACCTTCACCATGTTAAAGGAAGTGACAAAGTTCCTTTGCTGTTGCCAGGAGGTGATACAATAGTCAACTGCAGCCAGAACATATTGAAGAACACTTTAGTTAAACTATTGCTATACCCACTGCATTATCCAAAATAGTCAAATTTACTGAGTTACCACATTGGAAAAACCAATGAAATGAGATTCACTTTTTTCAAACTTTTACTTTAACAATCAAACCAAAATCAACTTAATTTATTTTTAATATAACGGGAAAATTAGGGTCAGTGTAAACTATAAATTGCACATTAGACAGTAAAAACATCTCTCTCAGATTTATGAGCATGTCCACTGAACATTTATGGAATTAATTATAGCCACAAAGAGCTTCAAAGTGCCGAACTTTCTCTGGTAAGTCTCAGTTCCTCGTCACTGAGGAGTTGGCCTGGACTCCTACAGCAGCACAGAACCAATGTGAGTTCCCAGGGAATGGTCTTCACCAAAATGTCATGCATTTGTAGAGCCTCCTCAACTCTCCACGCAGTGACCTTGATCATGTGGATCCAGCGATATTAGTTTTAAGTAACAGAAAAAGTAGTGACAATTATGTACTTGCCTATTCCCAGCTTTTGGATCCAGCCCCTATTTATCCAAGATGGCACCTGAGCTTAAATGGCTCTGTCTTTTTTTTTGTTAATCTGGTTTCAACTAATGTCAGTTTCTTCAGTAACCTAAGTTTCTGATATTGTTTTCAATTTTCCTGAAAACCTGAAAGTTCAGTTTCTCTTCTAGTTAGCGGAAGATTCTGTTTCAGTTCCAGTTATGATCGCTCTCAAGAAAAATAAGCTTTAAAACTGCAGACTCACCTGTTGTGATAGAATCTAGTATGTTACAGAGGGGGAATGGCCAAACCCCTCTGATACGTAAACCAACACAAGCCCCAATCTGCTATTACGGTAATGGAGGTTCCTTTTTAATAGTTACCCTCGAAACACTGAGAGTAGCTCACCTTTCCTCTCGTAATCTGTTAAAGTAATGGGTAAAGGAAAGGAAAGGATCCCTGATCCACTTTATAAATAACAAGTAAACAATTTACTTATTTAACCTCAAAAATGAACAAATTAAGAGAGATGCTAACAAACCAAACAATTGCCCCCCTTTATGCTAACTATTCCTTAACTGAACTAAATTCTACCGGAACACAAGTCCCACTTAATAAATTGAATTAATAAGAACACAATAAATTAAAACTTAGTCTCTGTGAAGCTGGAGAGACTGTCTTCTGGGACCTCCTGCTTTCTCCAGCCTTTCTCCTGACTATCTTCCTTCATAGATGTCCTTTTGTAATTGCTTCTGTGAGGACTTTTAGCTGAACTACCATGGTGCCTTTAAATTAGATGGGCTTTCTCTGAGAGCAATAAAAATGTTGTCTTATGGCATAGAGCTGGATGAACACAGCAGGCCAAGCAGCATCAGAAGAGCAGGAAAGCTGATGTTTTGAGCTGAAGAAGGGTCTAGGCTCGAAACATCAGCTTTCCTGCTCCTCTGATGCTGCTTGGCCTGTTGTGTTCATCCAGCTCTACACCTTGTTATCTCAGATTCTCCAGCATCTGCAGTCCCTACTATCTCTGTCGTCTTATGGCTGTTGGATGTTTCCCTCTCTCAGCCGACTTTCAAAAAATCACTTTCTTAAATATCACCGATGATGCAACAAATTCTCTCAATATTATTGGGTTCAGGCTGTCAACGCAATCAGATTTAAATTTGATAGTTTTTAGTTTCGAAGGGCTTGGTTTAAATTGATTGGCTAAATTTGAACTTGCCGTCAAAACATCAAAACAAGTCTGATGTTCGCCTGTAAGGCCCTTTTGCTACTAATGTTTCCATTTCAAGTACTTTGTCATTGCACCCTCTAGTTACACACAGACCTACATTTTAAAAAATCTCTATGCACAGACAAAGCACAAATCCTTTAAAGGGACTGTTATTTTTACCAACAAATTCTAACTTCCTGCCTTCCAATCCATAAATACTTCGCAACAAATATCCATCACAGTTTACCCATGCTCAAATAAATGCAATCTTACAGGAGGGTAACATTGATTTATTTTTTTATATATATATGTCAGCTTGTTAGCAGTTATGAGGGCTCTTCATAAAGGAAAATTTAAAAAGGGTTTATGGATTTAGTTGCTGTTGTAAATGGCTGCATGTGAATAATAACCTTTGTTTGAGCCTTCAGTGTCTTTCTTGACTGTCCTCTTCTCATGTAATGTCTTGCAAGATGTTCCCCATTGGATATAGTGTGGAAAGTGAAAAACTAGAATTAGAATTATTGTCACATGTACTCAAAAATGAAAAGTTTACAAGTCACCACTTAATGGCACCATCTTAGGTACAAAGGTACCTAGGTACAGATTCTTAAATAGAAATTTTTAGGGGAGAGAAAAAATTAGAAAAATAAAGAAATAAAAATTCACAATAACAGTAATTCCAACCCAATCCATGCTGGCACCTAGCCTCGAGACCGTGGTAGGCCTCACCTTGAGTCGGAAGTCCACGCTGAGGCTGAAAGTTCAGGACGTTGTCAAGAACACAGAAGAGGAAAAATAAAGAACAGAAACAGATGGAGCGAACGAGCTTTAGCTGGAGAGGCATCTTGAAAAAATATTGCTATAGTTAAGTCAATACCTTGTACAAGGTCCATCATTAACAACTTCTAGAAATTTAGACTCCAAGGATTCTGGCTCAAACAGCAATAATTCAACCTCTCCCTGGACATTCAGGTCTCGCTTGCTTTCTGGAACCATGATGGGTGTCAGTTGGGTGTATTACTAAGGTACTAGAGGCCGCCTCGAAACTGATATCTATTTCAAGCTCACTGACTCTCTTAGCTACCTGGACTACACCTCCCCTCACCCACCTTCCTGCAAGAATGCGATCCCCTACTCCCAATTCCTCTGCCTCCGCCGCATCTGCTCCCAAGATGGAGCATTCCAGTCCTGAACATCCCAGATGTCCACCTATTTCAAGGACCGCAACCCCCCCGCCTTCAAATGCTCTCGACTGCGTCTCATATTTAATACGTTATAGTGTCTTTTCTCTCTTCCTCAACTCCTTGCAAAGCAACAGTGTAAACGCAACTCAGTGAGTTCCAGTAACGTGCATTTAAAATGCAGCAATTACTTCCACAGTCGTCTTCCCCAGTTTTAGTGCACTAAGAAAAATATAAAACTCAATCCATACAACATTAAGTGACTAGCAGCATTGAGAGCAAGAGTGCGCGTGGGAGACAGCGTCGTCTTCTGTGCTTGCAATGACAGGGATATTTAAGGGGCTGTTCGCAGGGCTATGACCCTCACAGAAATTTGCCCACACATTAGTGGTCAGGCATCTAACACAGAGACCAGTTTTGCAGTCAGTTTGTAAACCTTATTTTGCATATTCCTGGAAGGCCAAAACAAGAAGCTTCCTGAAGGAGACATGACAAACATAGTCAATCCCACCATTATCTCTTCCTGTTACAGTTCTCTAGCTGGAGTTTTCCTGCCGCTATATAGGTGCATGGGTCTCTCACTGGACCTTGCCAAATAATGACTGAATTTATTTTCCTTTTTTTTTAAAGATAGTTCATAATTTTTGGCTGCGGCAGACTTCTTTGTTTCAAAAAAAAAAGATGTTTTGGTGTTAAAAGTGAATAATGTCCATGATACTTTGGGGTTTCTGATCTATCATCATGATAACTCTGAATAGAATTTCTCAGGTTTCGGGTTCAATCACGCACTCCCCATAGGATGGGCTTGGGGACAAACAAATTGATAACTGCAGCGGTTCAAGAAGGCAGCATACTACCACGTTATCAGCAGCAAATAGCACCGGGCAACAAATGCTAACCCAGCCAGCAACAACCACATCCAAGTAATAACTTAAAAATATGCCTTGCAGTTTTTCTTCCTCTAAATCAATGGAATTGTGGAGTTGCAGCCTGAGTTTCAACTAGCAAAGCTACCTGTTGATAATTAATAGTTTTGTTTTACCTGTGGTTATTATTCATTTATTTGTAATAAATAGCAGTTCTTGTTAAGTACAGGAACTTGGTCAGTGTTTCCAAGTTGAGACCATTAGAAAGGTAAACTGGGGACTTTGAGCTCTTAATAAAATATTATAACTTTTGTGATGACTCTGGGAGCAGTGGGGATCAGGCATCAGCTTACTTTTCCAAGTGGGTCATGACATTGTTAAAAAAGAATCAAGGCAAAGAGTTTCAATCAAACCACAAAGCCAAAAATCTTGAAATCAACTGTTCACTCTGTGTCAATGCTACCATAATGTCCACTGCTACAGCGGCATCGTTCAACTCTCGGTTCCCCTGTATATCTTCCTTTATAACTTGGCTTCTTCCTTGTAATCTGTGTGTATGTGTGTGAAGTTATTATTTCTTCCTGCATTTTGTAATTAATAAACTCACTCTGTTTGCAAATTTAAGAAAGCCTGCTTAAATTGGCTGCTTTTAAAACATAAGGATCTGGGAGATAGGTATCCACAGGAGAAGGGATCCATTTTAAAATTAACCTTGTTGCGACCAATGGAGGGGGCAGATGAATAACCAAATGGAGAGAGTTCACCCCTCCTCACCTGGGAGTTGAACAGTTTGGGGTATCCCATCTGACAGGGTAACAAATTGGAGAATCTTGCCTGGAGTCTGGTCATAGCACACTGTTGTGGACTACTACACACTCCAAGGTGATTTGCAGAATGTCAATTACATGCTCTAGACAGCGCACAGATTGTAGGTAATGTCTGACAGCTCGCATACGTCCTTTGACAGGCAGTCCAAAACTAATCAGCATCTTTTGGGTGCTCCGAAAGCTCATCTTTTTGTTAAAGGCTGTATTCCAAAATTCTGCATTGTTGTCTGCAGCAGAGCTAAGATTCAGGTTGCTCCTTTGCAGTTATTTCTTAGACCAACCTTCTTATCTGCATCTATTCCTGTTCCCAGCTCCCTTGTGCTCAAATGGATTTTGTAGCACAGATTCATCCTTCTAACTTGCTATTAGCATTGTTGATGATACAACTATCAGGTTGGCCTACAAATCTTGATTGTGTTACTGAGGAGACTGGGTTAAAAAGTAGGAAATGAAGGCAGGATGCCCAAATGACCTGTTGTTTCTGGCCTGAGTATGCATTATCCGCCATGGTTGATGGCAGCCTTTCTATTGGCGTCAGTACCTGTATAAAATCCTACAGCACAGAAATGGACCCTTGGGTCCAACTTGTCCATGCTGACCAAGTTTTCCAAACTAAACTAGCCTCACTTGCCTGTGTTTGGCCCAAATCCCTCTAAACCTTTCCCATTCATGAGCCTGTCTAAATGTTGTAACTGTGCCTGTATCTACCACTTCCTCTGGCAGCTCATTCCACACGTGAACCACCCTCTGTATGGAAAAAGTTGCCCATTAGGTCTCTCTCAAATCTTTCTCCTCTCACCTTAAAAATATGCCCCATAGCTTTGAACTCTCCCACCCTAGGGAAAAGATCTTTTCTATTCACCTTATCTATACCCCTAATGATTTTATAAACCTCTACAAGGTCACCCCTTAACCCCCTACGCAATATGTTGCTGAGGGTTCCTGAATAAGTTTTATTTATTTGAAAAGTCTGAATTATTATGAGCATAATGCAGTGAAAACATGGTGAAAGTGATTGAAATTCAGCGCATGTAAGTAACTGTATCATCTATTAAATCTGTTTATATTCTATTTATCACACATTAGTCATAGAGTCATACAGCATGGAAACAGACCCTTCAATCCAACCAGTCTATGCTGACCATGTTCCCAAACTAAACTAATCCCACTTGCCTGCATTTGGCCCATACCCCTCCAAACCTTTCCTTTTCATATACTTGTGCAAACATCTTTTAAACGTTGTAACTGTACCTGCATCCACCACTTCCTCTGGCAGTTCATTTCCAATACATGAACCACTTAAACAAAAAAAAGTTGCTCCACATGTCCTTTTTAAAACTTTCTCCTCGCACCTTAAAAATATGCCCTTGACTTTTGAACTCCCTCTATCCTTGCTATTCCCCTTAATGTTGTCCCTCATGATGTTATAAACCTCTATAAGGTCACCCCTCAACCCGCTATGCTCCCAGTGAAAAAAGTCCCAGCCTATCCTGCCTCTCTTTATAACTCAAACCCTCCAACCCTGGCAACGTCCTGGTAAATCTTTTCTGAACCCTCTCCAATTTAATAATACCCTTCGTGAAGCAGGGGAAGGGTGTTTAAGCGCTTCATTGAGAGTGAACATAAATTACAGATCAGGGGCGTGACAGTCATTTTGTTAAATGTAATTTTAAGATATCTGGCTGGAACCTTGCATTCTGAACTTCATTAGACAATGCAGTATTGCTTTTGAGGTATTAGCTGATTTTAGTAAGATGCTATTGTTCATGTCTGTGACATTGTGGTATATTTGCAAATTCTGACAGTGTTTTGTCCTTTTCTCCTTCTCTCTCTGCAGATTGAGATGAATGAGCATGGTGAGGGAAGGAAATGTTCCACTTCCGACGATGAGGAAAACCTTGCAGTGTTAAGAAGGTGAGAGCAACAGCTGGTCTTAGCAAGAGGTGGATGGAGTAAATATATTAAAAAAACTGAAAGAAAATGCCTTCTACCTTTTCTGTGCAAACTGCTCTAGATACTAATTGTCACTGGCCTATGAAATTTCCCTAGACCCAATCTATTTTCTGACTTATAACCTGCATCAACATATTGTCCATCATTTGCAAATAAAAGCATGAAGTATGTTGTAACACGAGGTCCTGTGAATAGCTAAAATATGATTATTAACGGCTTGTGGGAAATTCAGGACCGTGAGCAAACATTTTGTGTTACCACATTTCCAGAAGTGATAGCAAGATCTGATCACGGTATTTTCAAATGATTACATCACAGTTCTGGAGCATATGAATTTAAAAAAAAACTGAAAGGTGGATATGTCACTGAATCCTTTTGCTTGCATCCTTGATTGTTGAAAGAAGCTATTTACACACAAAGTTTAGCACTGGACTGGAGACCTACCACTTTAATTTTTTTTTTAGTTCAAAAAGAAACTGAAGAATAATCATGGTAACTATCAACCAGTTAATTTTACGGCAGTTGTGACAAACTCTTTAGAATCCATAATTAGAAATAACATGAGAGGGTACTTAAAAAGGAAAGGATTAAGAAAGACAATACTTGGTTTGTGATCAGGAAATCTGCGATTTCTCTGAGGAGAATGCAATTGGTCAGATAAACGGGAATACGGTGGATTTAGAGTCATTTCCTCTTTGTTCCCATGGTGTGGGTGTTATTGGCAAGGATGTCTTTAAACCTCATCCCCGTTTGTCTTTAGAAGATAATTGTGATTCTGTTTGTGAACCACTGTGCTCCTGGTGATGATTGTAGTCTCATGATGGTGTTGAAAGGTATTTCAGTTTTTAAAAAAAAAAAATATTTTATGAGAAGTAGGCAGAGGACAACATTTATTGTAGATCCCTAATTGCATCATCTTAAACTGTGGCAGTCCATCTGGTGTAGGTACATAGACAATGCTGTTAGGAAGGGGTTTCCAGGATCTTGACTGTGTAACAGAGAAGGAATGGCAGTGTAGTTCCAAGTCAGGATAACTTGGGCTTGCAGGTTATGTTGTTCTGATGCATCTGCTGACCATGTCTTCATAAATGGTAAAGATTGCAGTTTTGGAAGGTGCTGACAGCCTTGCTGAATTGCTGCTGTGTATTTCATATACAGTACAGACGCTGCCACCGCATTAGTGTGGAAAGAATGAATATTTATGGGATTGGTGGACGTAGTGCCAATCAAACATGTTGCTTTGTCCTGGATAGTATTGAGCTTCAGAAGTGTTGTTGGAGGTGCACTGATCCAGACATGTGAAGAGTATTCCATCACATTCTTTTATTATTGCCTTGTAGATGGTTCTTGGGACTCAAGAAATGAGTTACTTGCCACGAATATCCCAACCCCAGACCTGCTCTTCTAGCAGCACTATCTATATGGCCGGTTCGGTTCAGTTCAGTTTCTGGTGAAGAATAGCAAGTGGAGGATTCAATGATGGGAATGTCATTGACTGCCAAGGAGAGATGATTAGGTTTTATCTTGTTGGAATTAGACATTGCCTGGCACTTGTGCACCAGGAATGTTGCTTGCTACTTTTCAGCCCAAGGTTGTGCACGTCTTGTTGCACGTGGATCTAAAATGCTTCACGCAGAGAGTGGCGTGTACGTGGAATGGGCTGCCAGAGAAAGTGGCTCAGGCAGTTACAATAGCAGTATTTAAAAACGATTTGGATAGGTACGTGGCTGGGAAGGGTTTAGAGGGATATGGACCAAATGCAGGTGATTGGAACTAGCTGAAGGGGCACCGTGGTCAGTACAGACCAGTTTGTGCCAAAGAGCCCGTTTCCATGCTGTATTACTTTGAGTCTATGACTGTAGTAACCGAGGAGTTGCAAATGGTGCTGAACATTGTGCAATCGTGAGCAAACATCCCACTTCTGACCTTTTTGGAATGATTATTATTGATAAAGCAATTGAAAAGATGGTTGGACCTTGGGCACTTCCTTGAGCAAGTCCTGCAGCAGTGTCCTGAGATGATAAACTTCCAACAACCAGAACTATCTTCCCTTGTACCAGTTATTACTCCAACCAGTCGAGAGTGACAGTGTGTGTGTGTGTGTCCATGTCCATGAGCTGCTGGTGTTCTCATGATGTCGTTGTTCTTATCCTCCTTATAGTAGAGACCTCAGAGGCAAGAGTTTCTATTGAGATGACTTTGGTGACTTGATACGTATACAAGTCCAGTATGCTGTAGCTGGAATGCATTAGAGGTGGAGTATTTAGAAATTTGAATTTCGTGGGCGAAACCCTAATCAAATTCTGTCTGGGTGATGTCAAGCTTTGTGAATGTTGCTGTCCAACCATGGTGGTGAAATGGTTCTAAGAGATCTAAAATGTGCCATTCATTGCAGTGTCAAGCTTTTCATTGTTGCTCCGTGATAAAATGTTGAAGCGGGTAATCCAATTGAGCTTCATTTGGCGAGGTCCCCAAAATATTGATAGTGGGGAACTAAGTGGTGATGGTGCTATAAAGATGAGAGAGCTTTCTCTTGTTACTATTTGGTACCTACATGCCATGAATGTTTTCTGATTTTTAGACAATGGCTATTAGAAGTGGTGAGAGGATTTTGGAATTTTTAAGTATGAGCATATAGTCCAACAAATGTGAGGAAATAACAATGAGCTTGGAGAAAACATGAATTAGGCTTTATTTAGAATATTGTCTGCACAATGAGTAGGTCATTATTAAAAGGACTGGTTGAGATTTATTTGGATATTTTATTTTATTTCTTGTAGGTAAGTAGGGGATCAAGTGTTATAGGGAGAAGGCAGGATAATGGGCTTGAGAAACATATCAGCCATGATCAACTTGCAGAGCAGGCTCTGGACTCTGCATGGCGTTTTGTATGTTATGTTCGATTTGTTGGTTGTGGGTATGGGATCCTTTACATATAGGTATTGTAGAATGTAAGAACAACGGGGAACTCCAGACTAGCGTATACCGAAAGACTACACATACGGACCAGATACTTGATTACTCCAGCAATCACACCAACACCCTTAAATGGAGCTGCATCAGGACACTATTTAAATGAGCCACAACACACTGCAGCAACCCGGAATTGCACAAAGCAGAGCAGGAGCACTTACACGGAGTTCTTACAAGGAGTGGAGACCCAAAATTTAAAATCCACCGTTACTTCCACGACAGACCACAACAAGAAGACACAACGCGGCCAGACACACTAGTCACTCTACTGCACATCAGGAACATATCAGAGATGACCACAAGGCTACTCAGACCCCTAGGTATCAGGGTAGACCACAAACCAACAACCAGCCTGCAACAGCTACTGACAAACATAAAGGATCCCATACCCACAACCAGCTAAACTAATGTAATATACAAAATACCATGCAAGGACTGTGAGAAACATTACATAGGCCAAACTGGAAGAAAACTGACAATAAGGATACATGAACACCAACCAGTCACCCAAGAGACAGGACCAATTATCACTGGTCTCAATACACATGGACAAAGAAGGACACAAATTTGACTGGGACAACGCATCCATTATAGCACAAGCCACACAGAGATATGCTAGGGAATTCCTGGAGGTCTGGCATTCCAACCGGAATTCCATCAACAAACACATTGAGCTGGACCCGATATACAAACCACTGAGAAACAGAACCGGAGGTGGTGCTAACCACCCCAGCAAACCAAGGCATGTAAATAACAAGTGGGACGGAACACCAATGCTTCACCGGAGGCACACGGATGGTGTTACCTAGCAAGGTGACAAAACGTTTGCAACCAAACCCACCGGCTCGGTGAGCAAGTCTACAACCTCATCCACAACCCGAGCTACAAATCTTCTCAAAGACTTTAAATTAGAAGAGGTGGTTTTGGAAGGAAGTTATCAAAGCAATGAAGTGTAGCTTCGTCCATGCAGCAGCTGCCAAATAACAGTGGGAGAGGTTCAACAATCTCACAGAGTGGCTAAAGTGAGCCAAAGCACTGTTTCCAAACCACGTCGGGTCTACATTTAGTGCATTTCCTTACTACTTACCTCTTGTTCTCTTTTATCACTTGGGTGTTTGAGACTTTTTAATAAAGAGGAACCTCTGAAAACAATGAAGCACAATCAAACTCTGGCCATTCTGAACTCTCTCAACCAGAAAAAGGAATTCTTCTAGTACTGAAGGATGCTACAGTGAAGTAAGAATTTGCTTGCTGGTCATACCGACATGCAGTGCATGCAAAAGCAAAGATCGCACTCAACCACTGATGGAGAACTACAGTTAGAGGTGGGAAACAACACAATTGAAGATCCTGAGTCCACATCAAGAGGAATTTCTGTAGGTTTTAGGCAGACAGGCAGGTGCGTCTGAGGGAGTTTTTGTTGGAGACAATATAGCATAAAAATGTTGGGGGTAAAGGGCACAGTGTTAGGGCTAGCCTCGCGTTCATTCTTAGTGTTGCAGCGCTATATCCTCTATGCTATTGCCATTCAGAACTTTGAGTATAGCACACTCCATCATTTGTCCCATGCATTTGGTTGAAACCATTTTTTTGTGGACTTTGGCTGGAATAATCTCTTATCTGTTCCGGTGTTTGTCCAATTTCCTACCCACATTATCAGGCAGTGAGTTCAATCTCAAAACCACATGCTCCACGAAACAGATTTTCTTCAAGAGATAGTAGGAACTGCCGATGCTGGAGAATCTGAGATAACAAGGTGTAGAGCTGGATGAACACAGCAGGCCAAG